ATCTGCGCTTGAGTATCCGGGTTTATGTTTTGAGTGAGTGAAGATGACTGGTGTACCAGGGGGAGCGGGTGAGTTTGGAAACAACCCTGGATTTTAGGGGAGCCAGGGAATTAAAGGTTGTAGAGAGACGGTCATTCAGGAGCTTGATAGCTGCATCAGGATCGCTGCGGGCACAGGGCCAGAGGGAGAGGAAGTCCAAGGAAGAGAGGGCATTTGTAAGGGACTCATGGGGAAGCTTTTTCCAGTGGTGGAAAAAAACGATGGCGTGTTTGGAAGAGGGGAGGGGTATGTGGGAGGAGAGGGAGATCAGGAAGTGGTCTGATGGCCTTGTGATAAACAGGTCGGAAATGTCAAGGCCTTATGTGCGATGACGAGGTCGAGGGAGTGGCCACGGCTGTGGGTCGGCGAGTTGATGTGGAGGGAGAGGTTTAGGGAGGAGAGGAGGCCAGTGAAATCCAAGAAGAGGGTGCAAGGGGAGGTTAGGTGTGGGTCGAGATCACCCATTGTGAGCAGGTGTTCAGTGCAGAGGGACAGGGATGAGAGGAGGGAGGAGATATCAGTGAGCAAGACTTGGAAGGTGGGCTTAACAGTGGAGTTTGCAACGAAAATAATAAGAAGAGGCAGTTAGAAGCCCTCGGCCATCTGAAAGGGGTTAAGAGGTATAGATTTACAATGGTGTGATAATCAATTCAACATCTCCGATTATTCAGTTGGGGAATTTAAAATTTGGTTTAAAATGAGGATGTAAATGCTTCAAACCATACTCTCAGGAAGTTTCTGTCACCACTTGCCAGACATGCTCTGTTTTCAATCTTTAACAAACGTAACAGCGTACTAAAACAATGAAACGTCCTCGCTAACATTTTGCAAAAGAATTCAAACAATTGTCACCTAAAGTGTTGAATGTACACTTTTCCCAATAATTTTGTTTCCCCACATACAAGGTGTGTCCTAATGAAGCCACCTCCATGGAGCGCGAGTTTGCTTACAACACGGGTGTCTTGTTTCTGGTGTGGACTGGCAAGCTTCTGTACGAACTATATGTATGCGTACCGGAACCTGGACATCCACACCAACAACAATAACTTGCATTTATATAGCGCACCCTCACGCAGGGTTGGGTCCCAGAGTGCTTGAGAGTGGCGGAGCATGACTCCAGAAGTGACAGGGGTGGCAACCCGATGATCAGGAAGTAGGACGGTGGCCATTTTTGTACCCCAGACCTCTTATGACGCAACGTCTCATTTTATGAACTCCCATGATATCCTTTTAGGCCACATTTCGAGATTTTTCATGAGATTCGTGAGAGCGATCACGAATGCTGGATTTCTGTGGCCAGGAGGGTGGTTCAATGATGTCAGTGGGACCTGACAACTTGGAAACACTGACAGGAAACCATTTTTATATGATGGCCTGGTAATGTCTGCATATCTGCTTTTATAGACCCAAAACAACTGGTTATAATATACCTGACTGTATTGCCTTGCACATTGTCTGACTGCATTACCTTGCTCTCTGTCTCATTCTATTACCTTGCACATTGTCTAACTGTACTGCCTTGCTCGTTGTCTGTACAATAAATTCAGCCACAGTTACATTTATGTTTAGCGTGCAATCACTTCTGCTCGCTGTAGTTAGATCTCAGCACCATGTGGAGCAGCTCCTTTGTCTTCGAGTTTCTGAAGTTCTGGTATCCTGTAACCTCAATCATTTTTCAAAATCAACCAGTTTAATCTTTTTCCCATCTCTCTGTGAAAATTCCCTATTGGAGAAGATTAAAATTCTGTGCGGTTACTATAAACCTTGCGACATCTGGGAGATGTATTTGCTCTATGTCTGAACAGTGAAGACACACATGGTCGATCAATGCAACCGAAAGGTTCCTCCAGAAAAACTTCCACATTGCATTTCAAAAGTATGTTCAGGGATCCAGAAAGTTATCTCTGAAGACTACTAAAAAGGCATCAATCCTACTATCAGACTCTACCTCAAAGCTGGCTAAAGAAGAACCGACAAAAACGTATTATCTGATTGCATCTCCGTGAAAAATGAACTTGTCTTGGTTATAACATAATCAAACTCAGGCCAACGATATTGATTTGTACAATGTAGACTTAAAGGGGCACAGTCATCATGACAAAATGCTTGGCAAATCTTCTGTTGTTTTTCTTCCAGATCAATCTCAATGAGTCAAAGTGATGACGGAAATTGGGTTGAAACACATCATCACCTCATCAGCATGAGGCAACATTAAGATGAAAGTCACATATGGCTCTTCTCCCTCCACAAACCAAAGATGTTTCCAAATGTTTGTTTTACCACGTTGAAAGTGGCCTTGAAGCAATAGATCTAAATTGTGTTTTTTTAAATGAAGACAATCACTCAAAACTGCTTCCGACTATACAGCGCCACACTGGGATTCCTATTGGTGCTGTCTTCCCAACAGTAAACACAGGGTATTTGGTTTTGATCTGCCGGGTGCCTGAGTGCCTGGTACACAAATCAGACTAACTTCCACGTACGTATATCACCTACGGATAGAAAATTTATTGTGTCTGGAATAGAGCTCACACTCCCTCTCTGTAGGGACACCCTCTGTTTGCTTAATTCCGGAAAGTATTAGGCGCAAGTGGGATGGGAGGCAAAACTTGGGAGCTTTGGTGTGTGTGTTCTAGAGGTCCAAGTCCAAAGTTGGGTACCAGGCTAACTTAACAGGACAAATAGAGGAAATAGTACGTGTGGGAGTCACAACATTAATGGATTCCAATTTGCAGGTTGTGTTAACCATGTGCAAGTTTTTTTTAAAGTTTTGGCATCCTGTATCTGCACTCAATTTTTAAAATCAACCAGTTTAACCTTTTTCCCCATCTATTCTCCCTCCACAAACTCAATACCTTGCTCACCAGTCTCCCCTTCTATACTTTCCATAAGCTCCAGATCATCCTCCTCTGCAGCCTGCCATCCTTCCCAACCAATTCCACATTCCCTATCATCCCCATCCTCACCCGACTCTACCGCCAGGGGTGGAATAAGGGGTCTCCAATCAGTCGATGGACGTTAGGTGGCATCTCCCACACGTTCAACAAAAATAAAGAGGCCAGAATAATACTTATCGTAATTTAAACATTAAAGGTTATAAGATTTGGCTTAGTGTTCAATTTGACACAAAAACGACTCCATTCTACTGCTCTTTCCTCTTGTCTTTTGGATCATACATGTCAGCGCCACCTAGTGTCGATCAACCATTTGAAGACCCCTGCCCTATAGTGTCAACTTTAGGATCGGTGTCCTCTCCTTCAAATGACTCCAATGCCTTGACGCTCACCCTACATATGTGATCTCTTGTGATCTTATTCCTTCACCTATCCCCTATTCTCCACTAACTCTGGCCCCTTCGTGTCCCCCACCCACTTTGCCCCACCTTCAGTGGCCGAACTTTCAGCCACTTTGTTCCCGCTCCTTTCTTCCAACATTCCTCCAGCTCACCCTCTCTCTCTCTTTCAAAACAGCAACAGCTTGCATTTATATAGCGCCCTTCACGTGGGGTATCATCTCGCAGAGCTTAACGGTGGCGGAACTTGACGCCGAGCCAGGAAGGGGAAGACCTTTAGATATGATCTGGAAACAGTCAAGGAGGGGGCAAGGTGGAGGGATGGAGGGACTGAAGCAGAATCCCACAGTGGCAGAAACCCACCTAAAAACCTACCTCTTAGATATTGCTTTGGTCACTTTCTCCCAACTTCCTTCCCAGATCAGGCAGGTTACCACTCTGACTTTGTAAAGCATTTTGAGATGTTCTCCTATGTAAAGCGCCGTATTAATGTAAACTACTGTAGCTATTGTGCACAGAAGGAATCACAATGAAGACAACAACAACAACTTGCATTTATATAGTGCCCTTCATGCGGGGTAGCTTTCTGGAGTACTTAAGTGTTTAAATGATTCTGGAATGCTTTCGTTAAGTTGCTAATTACATAATCAAGGAAATTATTCCCCTTTGCGCGCACATTTCCGCAACTTGTAAAATAATCCCCGGTGTTGCTTTTGGCTACGAAACTTACATTTAACAATAGGTTGAATGGCTTTGCAAACAAAGCTTTTAAATTAACCCATTGAATACATTCAACTGCCACATTCATTTATTTTAATTAGCACTGAATGACGTGGCACTGTAACATTTTAAGCTATAACCCTCTGACTCTGACCTCAGACTGACACTCCAGTGCAGTGCTGGGGATGTGCTGCATTGTTGGAGCTGCTGTACTTCAGATAAAGATGTTGAACCAAGATTCTGCTGCCTGTCTAGGTGCCCATAAAACATCCCACGTTACAATTCAAACAAGGAAGGCAATTTCTCCTGCTGCCCCTCCAATCTCATCCCTCCGAATGCCCACCCCACCCTCACTGCATTAAGTTGATTTTCAAATGATTCCAGTGTCCTGGCTTCTATCATCTTTCCTGGCAATCTGTTCCAGTCACTGATTACCCTCTGAATGAAGAAACACCTTCCTGATGTCTGTCCTGAAATGGCCCTTTACAACTCTAAACCTATGTCCTTTTATGTTCTACTATCTTGGTGCATCCTGAAATATTGATATGGGTTTACTTTTTCAATCCCATTTAAAATTGTCCACACCTCTATGAGGTTTCCTCTCCGCTGAGTCATTTTCTCTCAAGACTGAAAAGCCCTAGTGTCTGGGTGTTGACATTTATGATAACTTTTCCTTGCATTTGATTTAGTGTCTATAAGAGACGAACATTCACAGATGTTGTTTAGTGCACAATCACATAATACTCAGTGTACTTCAGTTCCACTCTCTAGTAGCCTTTGTGATGAATTCTGCTCAGTGTTCACCCTCCAACCCCCACCAGCCCTGCCCTCCATCCCTCCTGATCCTAACTCCCAGCTCGGGTCCAAAAACTCCTGCCTGTCCAACGCCCTGTGACGTCTTTCCGACGTGAAGGGCGCTATACAAGTGTAATTTGTTGGTGTCACTTACCAGCCCAGCCCTTCGCGCGACCACAGTATGAAACTGTCCGTCCGAAACCCTCTTGGCCGTCACCAGTCTCTGTGTCCCGCTTCCCAGGTTGAAGGAGAACAGCATCTTCCCTTCCACGACCTCCAGGGCCAGGAACTCTCCTCGCTCTCCTGTCTGGTTGTCGTAATTGTACACCAGCAAGGCGTTGTCTTTAATGGTGGCAAACTTGATGTAGATGTAATTGTTGTTGGCATCCAGACTCGGAAATTCCATGTACGACAGCTCCTCAAACCCGTAACTGTTCAACTCGCAGTGCTTCCCGAAGACGCCTGAAAACCCACAAGAAACGTATCTTGACTCAAACAGCCAACATTTTGCATTTTTAGTACCACTTTCTGCTTTTCATTAGATACGAGGGGTCTGAATTCTCACTGAGTGTAGCCGAGCCTTGGCTTTGGAGGTCAAAAGGTGTTGCTGTTCTTCATCATTCTCTGCACATCTTGCATTGAAGAAACAAACCAACATTGAATAGAATGTAATCAGCCAGAACTCAGTTACTGCGTCTCTTCCACCCCTCGCTACTCCCTCTAGCTCTCTCCTGCCAACTCACTTTGCCCACCATCACTTTTCTTCATCCATCTTTCTCCCCCATTGTTCGTTTCCCTCTGCCTCAATTATGCTCAGCTCACTGTTTAATATAAGTTAACCGGAAACTCTATCATCTGAGCCCCTTCATGTCTGGAATTCATTTCTGTATTCATGCCTGGTGATTTCTCAGTATAATTTAGGGAGAGCGTGGGAAGGAAGGTGGCACTAAATAACTAATTGGAGCAAATGAGATGCAATAGGCTAGACTGTAATAGTAATTGTAATAATAATAATAATCCTTGCATTTTATATGGCGCCTGATCACGCCTTCGAGATGTCCCAAGGCGCTTCACAGAATATATTGTAAAGTGAATTGACTGTATATTTTGTGGGCAAAACGCAGCAGCCAATAACGCTGCAGGCCTAAAGATGTGATTTCTAGAGTGCCATACTGAGGAAAAAGAGTTCATGTTAGTAAACATCATTCGGGAGCTTTTTTACAAAATTAAATCCTTACAGCGAATAGCGATTAACTTTACCCTTTAGTGTTTCCTGTCTTTTCTCATACACATGTATTGCAACAGTTACTTACTGCCTTGGAGGAGTCTGAGAACCAAAATTCCACCCAGTCCTGGCCTGTTCAGGCAATTCGGTCTTAGATCATGCGAAATTGTGGAAAATTGATAAATTCAATTTTAACTTGGAAGTCAGTTTCTTTTCCGGAACCGTGAGAAACCTGCCTCCAAATTAACATTGAATTTATGAATTTTTCGCCATCCCGTACAATTTTATGTTTTAAGATTAAATGATCTAACAGGCTAAAACTAAACTAAATGTTATGCTTCAGATTAGCATCTGAATTTAATAAACTCACACAGGTGAGTTCAAGTCCACATTGGGAGTTTCAAGAGTTTAGACTGATACTTCAGTTCCAGCGCTGGAGAAGCACTAAATTATTGGATGTGCTATCCTTTGGATAAAACGTTAACCTGAGGTCCTGTCTGCCTGTTTAGGTGGAAATAAAGATCCCATGGTATTATTTGAAAAGAGAAGACAGTTCTGCCTGGAATCCAGGCCAATATTCCCTCAGAGAAGAAAAAAATTGGTCAATCATTTCATGAACAGTTAGTGTGACATTGTCCTTCACCTAAATACGCAATCATTACACTTCACAAATTTGGTGTGAAGTTCTTTGAGATGTTTTGATGTGATAAGTACTATCAAATGGAAGGAATATTTTTAATCAGTTTTCAACACGCACGGTTCGAATACTAAAAATCACGATTAAATAAAAAAAACTAGAAAGGTTGTTAAACATGATCTGTCTCACTGGGGACAAGGAATCATTTTACTCAACTCCTGTTAACCCTGCAAGCCAAAGTCCTAGCGAGTAGGGTGTGTCCTAGCTGGACAAGCAGTGGGAAAGCTTGTCGGACAGTGATACCACGGCTATGCAGTCTTAGTTGGTTAGACTCCATCAATGCCCCAACACACACTCTGAGGTCCCCAAGCAACCTGCGCCTAATATTTTCAGAATTAGGTAAGCAGGATGTGTCTCTCCAGGGAGAGAGTGCTCATTCCATTCTAACAATCTACCTCTGGGATTTCCATGAGTAGGTGGGATGCAAGGATCTCTCAGTTTGGTTTAGATACTCTTAAGCACGGTGTTGGGTTTCCGCATGTGTCAGACACCCGGCTGACCAAAACAAAACAAAAACTATCGCAGGACTGTTCTGTCAGTCATCGTTAGAAAACCACTTTAGAAACTGGAACACCTTGTGCTCTGAAATCTGTTTCATGGAGAAGTCATCTGCATGCTTTCTCAACATTTCACACAGAAAACAATGCTTTGTGGCACTTTGGTTGCAGTGCCTGCAAAGGAAATAATGCTTAACTGTGTCAACCTTTTTTTTGCAAATTAGGTTCACAAATGCACGGTGTGGGCCATTGCTGTGTATATATTGGCTGCTGCGTACGCCTATAAAATACGCAGTTACACCACTTTTAGTATATCTTGAGACATCTTGATGATAAGGCTCTGTATCAAATGCAAAGATTATTGTAATTATTACTGTATTTTCTTAGCACTTCAAAGCATCCAGAAATTCTTTGGTAAATTCTTAAGCAGTCTTAATTCTGGAAGCCATGCCTTTAGTTCTATTAACGACTTACAGCGAACTGGTTTTAAAGTTAAGACCAAACTGAAAAAGATGTCGAAATTCTGGATGCTCAGAAACGCTGCAACAACAGCGTATAAATCTAGAAGAAAGTGGAATTGTTGGGGCCCCTTTCATCCATCTATGAAAAAATGTTGGCTGGAGACTTTCAGTCTAATTAAAATACTTTGGCACATATTTCAATGAGGTGTGATAAGTAACAACCTGGTTCTGACAGGAAAATGGATTGCAGTCAGAATGTTGTCCAGAACTATCATCAAGCACAATACCATGATAACATTTCCAGAGGAAGAACTAGACACACCTAACCTTCAAAGGTAACTAACTCTATAGCACTTTTATCTCCATGTCAGAAGTTTATGGGTTCAAGTTCTAAGTTGGGGCTTTAACCTGACATTTGACACTATGTGTTGAGGGAGTGTTGCGTTGTTGGAAGTGCCGTTCTTCAGATGAAGCATTGAACTGACTTCCCATCTGACGATTCAATTGAACGTTAAAGATCCCATTACACTATTTAAATAGAAAAGGGAGTTTCCTCAAACAGCCCTTTGAACAGTTGTGACTGAGCAAACGTTACCTCACTCTGAAATTTTTACTGCAACCATGTTCTCACAATTAGACTGAAATAAACATAACATTTTGGGCCATTCAAAAGATTGCCGACAGCAGTTTTAAGGCCTTGGGTTCATCAACTTTGATAGCTCAGTTGGTAAGTGTGGTGTACTATTGAGACACATAAAACAGGAGTAGGCAAGGCCTGCTTTAATCTATACCAAAGGTTGTATTCCCACAGGGAATATGGCAATGGTCTTGCTGTTGCTGGCCATGGAGCAGTTATGTATATAAATTACTGCAATCAGGAATGGTGGTGAAACAGCTTGTTTTACTAATGATAAATAATAATAATCCTTGCCTTACCACGTCTTCGAGACAGCTCAAAGCGCTTCAAAGTACAAGTATAGCCAGTCTGCCGCTCAATAATCCCCTTCTGAGGATGGGCCTGGTGTCACATCCCATTGATGATCCAGCACTGTTCACAGTGACGTGGTTAGACACACAGCAACCTGTATTAGCTAAGTGTAGAGGCTGGCAGAGAGCTGATCAGAGAGGCTGGGAGGGAAGGGAATTTCCACATGAGGGTGAGGAAAACAACAATATAAAAGGATTCTGGAACGTCTACAGCCTATATAACAATCACCATGCAAATGTTTTGTGCTTTACTTTTGGGAACTTAGACCAATAATAACCGTTTGATTGGGTTAGAGCCTTTGAGAAACTGAAAAGCCTGTGTTCGTTCTCCGTAACTCACCGAGAGGTTGGGAAGAACACTAGGTCAAAAGAAAATGTAGCTGAAGCAAGCGGACCTAATTTCGCTCTGAAATGCCAAGATCAGAGAATGAGGATTTTGCCACTTTAGATATCCATTAACCACAATCATCTCCTTCCTCCAGTCTGTTCAGCTACGGTACTCAAGCCCAGCCACAGTAGAATGGCTCTAGTTGCATTGCAAAAAGGAAAGGCAACTGGATTTTAGACCATTTTCAGAGCATTGGAGATGGTGCAGAGAGGAGCAATAAAATCTATCCTTGGCATAAAGGGGTTCAGCTACGATTTAAAACCAAGCAAGCTTAACTTCCACTATGGAAAGAAGGCAATTGCAAAGGTTTCCTAAGTAAATTATGCAAACAGTGAATGGTATAGATAGGTTGAACCCGGAAAAGTAAAGTAAGGGAACACATTTCAAATAGTACAGAACAGTTTAAAAACAGATGTTAGGAAGAATCTTTTTGTGCAGCAGGGCTGAAAAAAGTATTCCTCAGGAAAATGGTAATGACGCCAGTGCCACTGGAAAAGATACTGGGAGACGCACAATTTTGTTTGTGTCTCGCAGGGACATTCTGACATGTCAGGCTGACTCCCGAGGTACCTGGATCTTCTTGGAACCAAGATCCTGTGAGATGGGGTGATGCGTGCAAGAATCCCAGCAGAGAATGCAGTCTGCGTGGCAAGCCATTTCATTTTGAGGGAGCAAAGGAGCAGTGATATCTGTGGCTGCTTTAGTCGGTGCCTTTAGAATTTCACTGCGTGAGAAACGACAGCAACTTGCATTCATCTATCGGCCCTTTACGCAGGGTAGAAAGATTTTCAATAATAAGAATAATAAACAATCCTCGCACTTGAAATAGCACCTTTTTAACGCCATTGAGATGCCTTAAAGCACTTGACAGGATTTTTACTGTGACTGAATAGAACACGACAGCCAATTTCTGCAGAGCAGTGCACAAACACAAAGAGCCGTGAAATGAATGACCAATTTTATCTGGGGGATCGTTAGTTGGGATACAAGGAAAAACTCCTTTCTTTTTTTGAATAGTGCCATGGGATCCTTAACATCCACCTGGATAGGCAGACACTCCCCCAGAAATAAGTTTAAGTGGACATAACAGTCTTTTCTCATCCTTCACTTCTTTTCTTTTATGAGTTGCCTTCAGATGAGTTAAACCATATGTTTGTTGTACCATCATTTCTGCTCAACAAGGTTTGTGTTCCCCTACAACATACACGATGACAACAACTTGCCTTAAATTCTGTGAGGCACTTTGAAACGTCTTCCTGAAGTGCCGTGTCAAATGAGAGGATTATTATATATCTGGCCCATAAAATATACCTTGTTACCTCCCACCTGGTGCTTTACGGGAGTGTTAGCTCGCATACTCAGAAGTGCCCCTAAGATGGGCTGGAAGTTTGAGATTAGTCTTGAATAAAATTACCGAAAATAATAGCTGCTCTCAACGTTTAATATACATCAGCTTTCAATGTGGTTTGAATCACCTTCGTTTCTTGCTGGTGGTCTGCCATAATACAAACTGGCAACGATCTCAACCTTTAATACTTAATTTTAATGAATGATGGCAACAGTTTTTGTACAAGTTAGCATATTGCCTTTAGCACAAGCAGAATGATTAGGAAAATTTTTCCAGATGTTTCAGAAACTGGGGCTTGGGATGGGGATGGGGATGGGGTGGAGCGTTGGAAAGCTATTAGTATGTGTGCTTCCAATTGTAATTTACACTGGGAACATGAGAATCTTTTGAGTGCTGTGCTCAGTTGGCCAACTTTAAGCCTTCAAATTGATGGTTCTGATCAACATATCTGAAGCATAGTGTAATATAGGCCTCATCACAGTAAGTGCACCTCACAGACGTTGAGTAATGGACAATATTCCTGATAATGAACAATATTATATTACAGAAAAGGTTGTGGGTCCACTCAAATTTCTCCCCACCTCCACTTGCAGGCACTGGCCTGCTTCACATCCTCCGCTCTCAGTGGTCAAGCCTTCAGACTTTCTGCCCCCACTCTAGCACTCCATTCGACAGTCACTTCACCTCTCCCCTTCCCTCACCTCTTTCAAAGTCCATTTCAAGACCTTCCTCTTTGACCGTGCCTTCGATCATCTTCCCACCCCACCCCTCCTGAATCCAACCCCCAGCTCGATTGCAAACCCTCAACTGTTCAGCGCCTTGGGATATCCTCCCGACGTGAAAGGCCGATATAAATGCAATGTCATTGTTTTCATCGTTGATACATTTCTGACTCCACCACACCATTCATCTCAAATTCCTGAAGGTGGATCTCAGTCTCATGAGGCTCTGACCCTGTATCCACTTTGAGGTGCAGAAGAAATCTTGTGCATGCAATACAGGACATGTTTGTCCATTGAGAGTCAGTAGGAGAAGATGGGACATAAACAATCTCTTATGCAGCCTGAAGGAGTCCACTCTTACAAAATGAACCAAATTATTGTTTGACTACATGTATCTCCTCATTGCACATCAGAAGTGCAATAGTTTGCTCCTCAAATGTTTTTAGCCCAGATGTGACCTCACATGGCTTGAAAATTCACACATCAAATCTCATCCAAGTTAATTCAAGTGTACGGGGGCGGGAGGCTGGTTATTAAGTCTGAGAGTTAATAAGTTGGTGAAAATTGTGACATGTAACGTATGATCATAATTAGCTCATTCCGGTGGAAGCTGCCAGTCCAAACTGCAGACATCAAATGGTTGATGAGTCTGGCACAAATTAAGGTAAATAGCAGTTAACATGGGTTCAGAAAGGATAGCTCTTATCTCACAATCTCATAGACTCTTTTGAGGAGGTGACAGCCCAAATTGACTGTGGGAAATCATATGATGTTGTGTATCTAGATTTCCAAATGGCATTGGACAAAGTACTATGTGAAAGACTCCTTCACAAATTGTGGTCACTGGGTACCAAGGGCAAAACATGGACATGAATTCACAATTGGCTGAAGGGAAGGAAGCAATGGGACTTTGTTAGGTGAGCTGGTTGAACATGCGGGCAGGTTTTAAGCCGGTGTGCTGTAGGGGTCTTGAGTGAGACCACTCCTGTTCTTTGTATGTATTAATGGTCTGGATTTGCAGACCCAATGTAAGGTAGTTAAATTTGCAGATGACACCAATTTGGGGGGAATCTGAATGGTGAGTTTTCCGGAGGGATGAAATCGGATGGGCCAAAGGGCCTTCTTCATCCAAACTAATCTTGCAATATCCTGCAAAACGGCATTCCACTGAAGGGATGGTTTAGCTTAAGACCTAACCTGTATAAATCATTAGTTCACCCACAAAAAACACAGTCATTCCACTTTATAGAATATTTTGAGACATCCTCCAGATGTGAAAGACACTATACCAAAGGTAAGGATTATTATCATTACAGTTGTAACACTAAACCTGTATAAATCATACATAGTATTGCAGTATTGTGTCCAGTTTTGGGCACTCCACTTTAGGAAGGATGTCAAGGCCATAGAATGATGCAGAGGATATTACCTTCTTTGGGGGGGGAAGGTAAGTGGGGTCTCCTTGGAGCTGAATTGGCTCAAAGGTGACATGTCTGGCAAAGGAATGTCGGAATTGAACTAGTCCTCTATGGCAGTCTCCGTTGTCCGGTTCCTGAGCCAGGCGGATCCACAGTATTCCAGGGCACTGCTGTTGACAGCACAGCCAGCTTGGTTCATCAGCAGGACTTTGAAGGGCAGACCAGTCACTGGGGGCAGGAAGTCATCCCACTAAGCTTCTGTTAACCTTGCAAGCTAAAGCCCTAATGGGTAGGGTGGTCGTAACTGGACAAGCAACGGGAAAGCTTGCCAGACAGTAATATCAATGGCAAGCTATGCAGTTAGATTCCAGTAGTACATCCAACGCACACGCTGGGGTCCCCAAGCCTTGGCTCTTGTCAAACTGTGTTTAATACGTTACGGAATTAGGTAAGTGTCCTTCCAGGGAGATTGCACATTCCATTCCAACAATCTATCTTGGAGATTTCCAGCGCCCTGGGACATCTTTCCGACGTGAAGGATACTATACAAATGTAATTTGTTGTTGTTGTAGGTGGGATGCACGGAAATCTCAGTTTGGTTTGGATACTCTGAAGCATGGTGATGGGTTTCCAGTCAGACACTCGGCTGACCAAAAAAAAATACAAGAGGATATTCTCTAGGATGATATCAGCTACGAAACTAGGAAAGAGCTGTCATCATCTCAAACAAATTGATATCATCAACTACTGACGATCTATGTTGACCATATTTCATAATCTTGACCCCCATGACTTGCAGATTATTGCAAATTGGATATTTTTTGCAGTATGTAACTTTGCCATATTTGAGCAAGATTGGAATGGTGAATATATTTGTAAAGCTTACTTCTTAGATCAAATTCTGGCCAAAGATAGGCAATTTAAATTTACTAGATCACAAAAGGATCCCTTGCCTAACTCCTGACAGTAAACTGTTAAAAGGAACATTACAATTGGCCCAAATCTACAATCAACCTAAACTATTTTCAACCATAAAATGCAAAGCAATTAAGTGCCTCTTTTCCGCTAGTGAGTAATGGCAGTGTCTTTTTGCTCTTTGTCTGTCGTTCTGAGCATTTTGTACACTTAATGTGTAATGGAGTCTGGCTAGTTTGTAGCAATGTGAGTGTGCACTGTGTTTCTCATTACGAATCAAAATGATGGATTTGTGACTTAAATGCATGCCTCATTAAAAAAACAAATGCAACACTACAAACCCCAATCAATTTCAACTTCTACAAGAATGAACAGAAGCACATTTTTGTGTTACTCAAAGACCAGAGTTTTCCTTCCACAGGGAGTTCAGCTTCCAGCATGCTAGGATCAGGGAATGAATGGTCTGTGCTTTACTACACACCTGTAATGACTGCGTATTAGGTAGAAAAACCTGGCAGTCAATGTTTGCACAGTAGTGACCCGGTAACATCCAACTCATGTGCTGGCTCAATCCTTACTTGACTGAAAATATTAGGGGTTAATGCCCTGTGATCCCTGAAAATAGTTATCTTTTTTCAGTAATTCTTTATGATGGTTTTCCTATCATTGTATAACGAGCACAAAAGATGGTCATTTTTTGGTGATCAGTCTCAGTCAGACCCACCCATAAGTTATGTTAATGTCATTTTTTGTGAAAAGATGACATACACATGCAGATATCTGATAAATATCTTCCAGCTTTTAACTACAAGATTTGTTCGACATTCGCAAATCGTACCCGTTGCATTAATTGCAACTTCTGTTTCCTTGCGTCTGCTTTAAACAGTAAAGTGGTTTTAAACACTTCTGGTTTGCGGCCATATTGGCTCACTTTTTGTAGTAACTAATGGCTGTCGCATCGTCGGTGGTGTTGCTTTCTACACTGCGCTTGTTCAGAACATTGTTTCCCGCTGTCCACTCTTTCATGAGGGAAGTGACATCAGTGACACGCTCTAACCAATCGACTAACAACCGGGTTCCTACTTACTGTTAAGTAAACAGAGGCGTGTGGAGTAAGAAAACTTGCCCAACATTTCGCCCTGCCGGGAATTGAACCCAGGTCTCTCATTTGCGAGGCGCGTGTTCTAACCACTGAGCGACAGGACAACCTCCTGCTCTAAGTCTCCATAAGTACCATCCACCTGACTGGGTTTATTGTTTTTAGACAGCCTGAACCTATCTAGAATTTCATCCTGATTTATGTTAAAATCCTGGAGTTCAATATTTGCTGGATGTTGGGAGCAATATTCATTGTGCCCTCCCTGGAAAAAAATGTGTTTAATGTATTCGCTATCTCCTGTTCATTATATTTTTTCAACCCCCTTGGATTCTCTTAGGATATTAATCTTCCCTTAAGTATCCTCTTACTGTCATAATATTGAAAGAATACTTTGCCGTTTTGTTCTGCATATGCTGTCAGGTCCCTTTCCAATGTGTGCGTACCATTATGTGTATGTGGGTGAGTGGGTACAGCAACGATGCATACTGTGTGTGTGTGTTTGTATATGTCTCCACCCATTTTTAATTGCTTACCGAATGGACAATGGCAGTAATAGCCGTCCGCTTGATTCTGGCAGGTTCCTCCATTGAAGCAGGGGTTACACTCACAGTAGTTAATGGTCGACTCGCATGTTTTTCCTGAAATGAAAACACAAGATTATTTGTTTTTGCTTTAAGGACACACTGTTTTTGCTTTAAGGACACACTGTATGTTTGGTGGGTGAATGAGATTAGCTGTTTTGATCGATGAACACAGCTAATCTCATTCACCCACCAAACATACAGTCTCTACACCAAGCAGAATTTTGGGTCATCCTCCTGACGTGAAAGACTACAGCAAATATAAGGATTATTTTATAATCCAGTGTTCGTTTCCACCGAGGCCTGTGACTTTCAAGATAAGATTCCATTCTCATGGTTCAAAATGTTAACCCTCCAACTTGTAGCTGTAGAATGCAGCTGCAAAGCTGTTCACCTCTTGTAAGACTTGCTACCAGCAGAATACTATTCTTAGACACTATATAAATTACTCAAAAGGCAAAATACTGCAAGTGCTGGAAATCTGAAATAAAAACAGAAGTCGCTGGGAACACTCAGCAGGTCAGGTAGCATCTATGGAGAGACGAAAGTGAGTTATCCTTTCAGGTTGATAACCTTTTGTTAGAATATAGATTACTAATTTCATCGTACAATTTTCTTTCCTAACTTATTCCTTCCCAGTGGAACTCTTTAGCTCGGTCGTTCTTCCTTCTATCATCTAAAGTTTTGAAACCGAAGCTTGATGGTACTGAAAAGATTCTCAATTCATCCTACACTCTCTACTCTGGAATATGGCTCATCACAATCTAACAATTGGGGATTTTAATAAGCGTAGCATTTTTTTTAATTACGTATTCATTAGTGGACCGTCTTATACCAAATTGTAGAATGTTTTTCCCATTTCTATTTCTGGACAGTTTTTGCTCAAAATGAATGCAAATCAGGTTCCTTAAATGGAGACCTGCACAAAGAGATGTGTGTTAATGCAGCAGCAGAAAAAACACATGGGGTCACAGTTAATAAACGTGAAAATAATACTAAGAAAACAAGCAGGGGTGTCAAAAAATGTACTAAGAGGAAAAAATGAATAATTATAAAGTAATAATAATGAAGTAAACTATAATAATGAAAGAGATACCGTTAACCTGTGGACAGGGTTTATGTAAAATATTAGACTCAAGTTTATTGATTCAAATTGATTCCTTAAAGCAAAAACAAATAATTTAATGAAAGTACATTCCTTTACTGTAATAAAGCATATGGATCAGGAAATGAGTAGTTCAAGGAAAAACCCTGGCTGGAGGAAAATTCAACAAGCAATTTACTGTGTGTTAAAAGTCTATTTTTTTTAATTTGAGAACATATATTGTCTTTGAACAGAAGAAGCAAATATCCCCCAAATCATCGTTAACTGTTTCAGCTCGAAGTTGTGAGGGTTTCTTCATTCTCCCAACTTTCAAAAATAATGGAATGGGTTAGTTGCAACGGGACGAAGCAGCTGGCAAAATCTAACCCGCCAGAAATTTGAAAAGACCTCAAGCACCGAAGCGTACAAAAGTAGTTCTGTTCTGCTATGAACGTTCAAAAGCAACCTCTCACCATCAAAATCAGTGCTCGCGGCTAGAGAAGGATTTAATCTAGGGTATTTTCCACAGGCTGATGGGAAGTTAGAATTCCGATCGACACGGAAAAACTCCACTTTGAAACTAAAGTAGGCAATCCCCTGCTTGGTCTACTGCATCAACCAGTTGATCCCTCATCAACTTTAGGAGTGGGTCACTTTAGTAAATAGCACCAGTGTTCAATTTATTTCCTCTCTTCTTCCAGGTCGCACTATACCATACACTGTACTGCACGCGAGCTGAAAGTGCTTGTGGAAGAGCTACTGCCTGGCTTCTGCTATTGCCCTTTCATAATCAGACCATGCCAGGTTATGCAACCAGTGCTCAATCCCTCAGGAACCCTTTGCAAAGATGTACCCAAGAGTGATCCAGATTGATTTGCTCCTTGACTTTCCTTTGTGTTTTCCGGGGAAACATCTTGATTCTGTTTGCCACACCCTTTGGTCCAACTGAGGTGAGGAATTCACCATGTTAGCAGTGAGACTGCAACCTATAACTCCACACTAGCCCTGCCAGGTACCTGGATGGAGCTGATCTCACTGAAATAATCTGAGTGAAGGGCAATGTATAAATCAAGTTGCTGATGGATAACATTGAGAATGTTTTAAAACAGTTCGCACTAATTACTGTTCGATGTGGTGACGGTAATTGGTGACGGCCAATTTGTGCACAGCAATGCCAGGAAGTGATTGACCAATTTTTGGGCCAGACACAAACTCCCTTCTCTTTTTGAGTAGTATTGTGGATTCCACCTGAAGAGGTTTAACATATTTTCTGGAGGATGTATCTCTGATAAGTGTTGTACTTCTCTATCCAACACTGCACGGGCGCGTCAGCCTACACTGTGAGCTGCTACTTCTTCCAAATAACACAAACTCAAAGAAACAATAAATAATCCTTAGCACGTCATCGAGATCTCAAAGTACTACATGGGATTTCATAGCCAATTTCCCCCACACACCAATGTCCCACAAACAACCATTAAGTGAATGACCGAATGGTTTAATCTCTTATCTGAAGGACAGCACCGCCACCAATGCACCCCAAGCACCATATACCCAACAAACCTAACAGGGATTCTAAATAAAAAGGAATGGAAACTACGGGGTTGTTCTGCTCAGTTCAGCTCAGCCAAGTGAGTTAAAATAGGCTAAATGGGCAAATTACTCCATTTGAGCGAATTTGTGGACTTCGAAATAACTCTGAAATAGTTTTAAAGGTAAAATTAAATTTCCCATCCTCTGTTATTATTATTGAAGTGTTTAAAAGAGTTGATGCAATACTGTTGCTGTGAGTGGATCAGCCAAATATCAGCCTATTTGATTCGCAAAACCAAACGGAAGCAGAACAGTAAGTAGTCGGCAAACCTCGACATGGTTCACTGCCTTGGGGCGCAGTGAGGCAGAATAGCCCTGGATGTCATTTTATTGTTGCGACGGTCACTGATCAACGCCACCAAAAGATGATGAGATACCTGTATATCCGGCCGCGCAGGCACAGCTGAAGCCTCCGGGGAAGTTTTGGCACCCTCTGCTATTTTTGCAGGGATTCGACTGGCACTCGTTGACGTCCCTCTCGCACGCAGCGCCCATGAACCCTTCGGGACAGGCGCACGAAAAGGTGCCCACAAGGTTGTGGCAGGAGCCGGCGTTGTGGCACGGGGACGGAAGGCACTCGTCTATGTCGGTCTCGCACAGGCGGCCCGAATATCCCGGCAGGCACTGGCACACGAACGGCTGGAGGACGGCGTTTGCCACGACCACCACCGGCGCGCTCTCGACCGTCTGGGTGGCCGGGGCCACGGCGAGTCGCTTCACGCAGCTCGCCCCGTGCTTGCAGGGGTTGCGCGCGCACGGGTCGTGGTCCACGGAATCGATCCGCACCCCGCTCTGCCTGTGCACGGCCTCCCTGATGCTTTCGAAGAAAGTGGCCACCCCGCTGGGGCTCACGTACTGGCTGCTCATCCTCTTCACGGCCGTCAGCGCGTAGGTCCGTTGTTCCTGCTCGTAGAGGCCGTAGATGTGCACGGCCGTGCCCATTCCCGCCAGCTGAGAGTTGGCGATGCGCAGAAAGTGGAGGTAGTGGTCGGTGAGGAAGTCTTTGACCGATGCCACGTTCAGGCGCAGGAGGATGCTGTTGTCTATGGTTACGTTGGTGAATCCCGTGAAGATTACGTGGACCTTGTTGCTCACCGCGCCGTGCAGGCCGTCGCTGCTGCGGACTGTGAGTTCGAACGTGCCATCTGTCGACCTCGGCTGGGAGTTCAGATCGCACGTGCCCGCCGGGATGCTGAAGAGTGTGGTGGCCCCAGCGGTGAGGGTGCAGCGGAAAGTATCCGATACGTCTGGGTCCTGGGGCTTCACGCTGCCCAGCATCCCACCGGGGAACAGGTTCCCGAAGTAGTGGACAAAGATCTCCATTATCCTGGGCTCGGAAGGATTGTCGTTCTGGTCGTGCACCGTGATGTGCACCGTTCCTATCGAGGACATCTGAGGAATCCCGGAATCCCGAGTGACCACTGACAAGTTGAAATCGCTGATCTGCTCTCGGTCGATTTCTCTCGTTGTAGTGAGGATTCCCCCAGAGCTGAGACTGAAGTAGGTGGTGGCAGGCCCAGTGCTGAGCAAGTGATAGGTGAATGGACCTTGGTTAGGAGGAAGGTCGGGATCTGTCGCACTGAGAGTCATCACTGTGACCCCTGAACCTTGGTTCTCTTTAACCTCCCCACTGGTGATGGCTAAAGTGGGCCCATTGTCGTTAATGTCCTCCAGATTGACTAATAAGCGAGTGCTGCCGGTGGCTGAAGGTACTCCCGAATCCACTGCTAAAACAGAGAGGTTGTACACGGGTGTGGACTCGCGGTCCAGTTCTGCAGCGACAGAGACCTGCCCTGTCTGAGGGTTGATGGAGAATGCCCCCATTTCGTTGCCAGCCCCGATGTGGTAAGTGAATCGGCTCCAGCTGGGAACAGAGTCGGAATCGAAGGCGCTTACAAAGCCGACGTGTTTTCCGGCCTGGGCCCCCTCGTTGATCTGCACGGAGTATTCCTCAGAGGTGAACACGGGGGGATCATTAGCATCCAGTACAGTGATATTCACAAGAACTTCATCCAAGTCAAATCCACGGATGCTGCCAGCATTCTTAGCAAGAACCTTCAACGAGATCTTTTCTTCCTTTTCACGGTCAAGCTGACCCGACACGTAAATTTGGCCGGACTTATTATCAATACTGAACCCCTTCCTTCTGCTTTGGCCAAAAAGTAGGTAGTTGACGTCTCCGTCGACCCCAAGATCTCGGTCGCTTGCAAAGACGTCTCCGACAACGGTGCCTTCGGAGGCAGCCTCCGAGACCTGGAAGATGTAGTGCCTGGACACGAAGCGTGGCACGTATTCGTTCACACCGCGGAGCTGCACGTAAACGTGAGCAAAGTTGAAGTGGTCCTCATCCGGCACGTTAAATGCCTTCACATATAAATGATAACGCTGCTTTGTCTCAAAGTCCAGGAAGCCGTGAGTCGTAACAATGCCAGTATTTGGATCGATAACAAAAAGATCGCTGTCCGTGGTCTGAATCGCGTAGGCTATCACTGCGTTGCTTCCCGAATCTGCGTCCGTGGCATTCAGCTGCACCACCATCGTGCCACTGGGGGCGTTCTCAAATATGACCGGGAAGTACTCGTCTGGGCTAAACAGTGGCACGTTATCGTTCGAGTCAGTGACGTGAATGCTCATGCTGAGGTAGCCAGTTCGCTTCACCCAACCGCCATCTTCAGCGCTTATGGTCAGCTCGTGGGTTTGCTTCGACTCATAGTCCAGTTGTCCGGCTAGAACTATAGCACCAGTTAAATTGTTAACGGAGAACAAGCCAGCCTCGTTTCCTTCAGAAATATTGTACCTGATTAGCCCATTCATGGCAGTGTCTTTATCCCTGGCTGAAGCTGTTCTGAGGACTGTTCCGGTGGCAAGGCTCTCGGGGACTGTGATACTGATGTGGCTTTGAGAGAATTGGGGAGTGTGCAAGTTCTCCTCAGTCACCAGCACACGGACAGTGCACGTTGAGGAAAGCGGCAAGTTTCCTTTGTCCATGGCTGTGATTTTCATCAAGTACTCTTTATATACATCGGTCATCAAAGAGGAAGCGACAGAAACCCAACCACTGCTCCTGTCCAGCGCAAAAAGGCCTGAGCCGTTTCCTCCAGACACGTGGTACTCAATTTCTGAGTTCAGGTTGAAATCTTTGTTGTCTGCCGCTGTGACTTTGATTAACCTCGTACCAATTCCGACCGTCTTCGCAACCGGAGTAAAGTACTTCTCGGATTCAAACTGAGGAGGGTTGTCGTTGCTGTCCACGACATTGACAATGACTGTGGTTTCGCTCATTAAGGGTCGACTACCTCGGTCTGAGGCAGTCACAATGAAGCTGTGCCTGTTTATGTTGAGGTTGCTGGAGCCTGTCGAGTTGTGATATTTTAAGTATTGTTTGGTAAAAATCTCCCCTGTGCTGGAATTTATTCGGAAGAATTCCGACTGCGACTTGATAAAGTAAAACACTTGTCCGTTAAGACCAACGTCGGGATCTTTGGCCAACACCTGCGTAACCCGGGAGCCAATCTCTGTGAGCTCTGGGTACTCGAGGTAGTAAGAAGGGCGATCAAAACGGGGGACGTTGTCGTTCACGTCTGTGACAAAGACAGTGATGTCTGTGTTCACTGTCCACCCAGAATCATGGGCGTAGACTCTGACTGTGTATTGTGCCACGTCTTCCCTGTTCAGAGGCCGGCTGACGGTGATATCCCCGGAACTGGGATTGATCGAGAAAGGAAGACTGATATCGGTTATGGAGTACCGGCTGACGGCATTCACCCCGACGTCCTCATCTGAAGTGGTGACGCGCGTCACCGTGTAACCGACAGCCGCGTCTTCGGGCACTTGAGAGCTGAATATCTGCGAAAACCTCGGGGCGTTATCATTTTCATCTGCGACGTTAATGACGACACGACATAAAGAGCTCCTCGGAGCAGCTCCTTTATCCATTGCTCGCACGGTTAATGTGTATTGGGCGCTCCTTTCTCTGTCCAATTGGCCAGTGCATCTGATCTCACCCGTGCCTCTGTTTATGTTGAAGGTGTTACCTTTGTTGCCATCCACTATGGAGTATTCCACTTGACCGTTGGGCCCGTCGTCCTCATCCACTGCTGTTACAGTCGTCACACTATCCGGGAAGGTATTCTCCATTATATTTGCAGTGAACGGATCCTGCGTAAAGATGGGTGCGTTGTCGTTGACATCTAACACGGTTATATCCAGCCGCGTGTAAGAGGAAAAAGGAGGAAAGCCCATATCCCTGACTTCGATCCACAGCACGTATTTCTCCACAGCTTCAAAATCTAGCGGCTTAGTCAGCATGAGCTTCCCGGTCAGTTGGTCAATGTGGAAGACGTCACCGAAGTTGCCGCTAGCTATGTAGTAGGAGAGTGGCCCGCTCACACGACTCCTCGCGGAAGAGGCCGAGACTGTTGTGATGTGGGCATCGACCTTCTGGGCTTCCGAGAACAGGAACGTCTGTTGCCCAGCCTTGATTTGGGGAAAGTCGGCCTTATTTCCGAATCTCACTGTCACAGTGGTGGAGTCGGACTTTGGGTACATTCCGCCGTCCTTCACATTGACAGTGACCGTTATATCGGTGCCTCTGGCTAACGGTTGCGCAGTCATGATAGCACCACGGATTCGATCAATCTGGAACTTTTCCACATTGTGACCCGTCAAGGAATAATGCAGTTCTGCGTTGGGGCCGGTGTCAGCATCCGACACGGTTACAGCAAACACAAATGAACCTGTGCGGAGAAACGAGAACAATATTAAGAGACGGAAATATAATATATATATATAGACGGAAATATAACAGGACTGGGTGGTGTGGGGAAGGGGGTAGTTTGTGAGTGAGTGTCAGGCAGTGTATTGGTGAGGCCAGTGGTTCTTGAGTAGAGATGTAATTATGTTTCTGGGAGCCTTTTGGGGGGAGGGAGGGAGAGAGGGAGAGGGAGAAAGAGAGAGAGAGAGAGAGAGAGAGAGAGAGAGAGAGAAAAGAAACTCAAAAGAGACTCAGAGGCAAGAGTGCTTGGAGGCAGCAGACCTAATATTCCACCTAGTCTTAAATCTTTCAGAACATTTTGTCTTAAATATTTGTGGAACATTCTTAAATTCAATCTTAAGTTGTGTTTTTGTTGGTTGTGTTTAAGAGCAGAAGAATATTCCATGTAGGTGGAATTTTGGGTGCAGTACCTTTCTGATTAATTAGCATTCATTTTGTAATAAATACATTGCTGACGAATGTCCCACTAAAAAGAACAGGGTTCAGGAATAGACCCTTTATCTTCACATTTACTTAGGAATAGGAAAACTAGAGGACACAGCCTGTGATCGAAGGAGGCTAAAATCAGAACAAATCTACGGAAACACTATTTTAATGAGCGAATAGTAAACCTGTGGAACAGGCTCCCTAGGGAGACGGTTGAAGCAGGAAATGTTGATGGGTGCAAACACAGATTAGATAGTTTTCTTTTAGGAAATAATATTGTGGGATAGTACATAGTACATAGGTAACATAGTATATAACATAGTATAACATAGTACATAGGTAGTTCAGGACATATGTGTGTGCAACCGCCAGGATGGTGGAAGGCGAACTAGATGGACCTTGGTCTTTTTTTCATCTAACATTTCTTATGTTCTTATGTTTTTATTTACTGGTTTGGAGGCCCCATCTCCTTGCTCACGGATATGCACATACAAAGGACTTCTTGATGTGTACCTGCAACAGAACTTGCCTGGACACCTATAGTGCTGTGAATCCAACTCATGGTTATATTTGAATCAAGTGACACATTTGGTAAAGCTTTATAATACTATTAATAGTGTGGTAAAGTTAAGCCCGGAGGATAAATTAAACAGTTCTGTTCTTCACTCGTGAATCTGAGCTCAATTTTCCAGTGTTGCTATTTAGGGCTAGGGTTGAGATTGGCGTACAGAAATCCTTAATAATCATCCTTGTATTTGATATAGCGCCTTATCATGTCTTCGAGACATCTCAAAGCGATTCACAGGATATACTGTAAAGTGAATTGACTGTATACTTTGTGGGCAAAAGCACGGCAGCCAATTGTCCCACAAACGGTCGTGGATTGGGTGACCAAATTAATGTTATTTTTAAAAATAATTTAAGGGATTATTATTACCCTCAGGAAAGTGATCCGCCCATCAACTAACAACCGGGTTCCTACTTACTGTTAGGTAAACAGAGGAATGTGGAGCAAGGAAACTTGCCCAACATTTCGCCCTGTCCGGGAATCAAACCCAGGTTCTCTTGCATGAGAGGCGAGTGCTCTAACCATTAAGTTACAGGACTCCAGGGGTGCCATTTCTATTGGAAGTTTTAGAAGACTCAGGACTGCAAAAAAGCAGAAGAAATACATCCCCTTCTTTGTTGCCTTCTCACAACATAAACCGCAGAGTCTGAGAGAAGTGCCGTACAACAACTGTGCCTCCCTCTATGAAGAGCTGACTTTCTCTCCACGACTGGGATGTGGCATGAAATCAGTGACTGACTGAGGCGTGCTAAGATCAAGAGTGGAGAACAGCTGGTTCATCACAGGAAACGGTAAAATAATATCTTATCTGCTCCAGTATAATTTGTTAGGGTAATTTCAGCGTGAGTGATGAGCTCACTTGACAAGGCTTTTCATGATTAGGCGCTGTCATTACTTTAAGCATTAAGAAGTACATATCTACACACCTCTCCGACCTACTATCCCCCTACCACCTCTCCGACCTACTATCCCCCTACCTACCTGCCCGTACCCTCCGTTCCTCTGGCTCCGGTCTGCTCCACATCCCCCGCCCCAACCGCCCTACCATCGGTGGCCTTCAGCCTCTCAGCCCCGAGGCTCTGGAACTCTATCCCCCAGTGCCTTCACCGCCTCCTCCCTTTCCTCCTTCAAGGCCGGTCTCAAGACCTTTCTCTTTGACCGTGCCTTCAGCTCCCCTCTCGACTCTCTACCCCCTCCTCGCTCCCTCCCTTCCCTCCCCTCACCCTGACCATTTCCCCCTGCTCGGGTCCTGACCCAACTGTACAGCGCCTTGGGACGTCCTCCCGACGTGAAAGGCGCTCAATAAATGGAATCTTGTTATGTTGTTGTTGTTGTTGTTATAAACCGCAGTACAGTAACGTAATGAAGAGCACTGTTCTTCATGACTTACGACGATGCCTTGCTTATAATGCTGGAAGCAAAGTGATATCTTTTCCAACAGTGGAGCGATGTGGAGCAGCAATCCTGATTTATTCTTCATGCTCCTAATCACATTTGGCTAGTTCCGTGCTGGCGTTTTGCTGTGTTGGCGTGTGTTAGTACTTTTAATGTTAAGACTGTTGCTTTTAGGCTGTAGCACAAACTCCCTTGAGTAGTGGGGGAAAGGCTAGTAAGGCGTGCAAGGCCAGTGAAGAGCAGGCACGTGCCAATTTCAGACTCGCGAGCTTGAATCCCGTCTGCGCTGACACAACTGAACTCAAAATTTGGGAGGGGGTTGCTTTAATTGGACTCAGTTATCCAGGGCTCGGGTAATGGGGTACAGCAATTGGCGCCGTTGTGTTATTTAGTAGCCTGGAGAACTGAAATAAATAGTGGAACGAATTAGACTTACGCTGACAAATGGTTTTGTTCATTTACATGAAACTCTCTGGTAACACCAGTAATGTAATTGTACATCAGTGATGTGTCAAAGTGGCGCGCTGCCAACAATTTGAATTCTTCTTGATCTCTAATAAGAAAACAATTACTGCAGAAGGATGGTGTATGTTAACCACCTGCCTACTAAATCAATGCGTTTTCTCGTCTGCAGCAGACTCGCAGCACAAATCATAGTTCAGCCTATCCCCCATAAAATAATTAACAGCCATGACTGTAGGGGATGTCAAGTACATGACAGCAGGCGTCAATATATCAAAATGAAGCTTGTTGCAAATATTTCTTGTATCTGCTTTTAGTCTCCATCTTTCGCTGTCTGGAACAGATTCTTTCAAAGACCATTAACAACTGAGCATTTCTCTCGTGATTTATCTCCCAGATGCCCCCCACCATATCTTGCTCTTTTTACGTTTTTTAAAAAAATATTATTTAATATTGCAACAGTTTCAGGCAAGAGACTGGTCCATCTATCTTATGCATCCAACTTCTCAAAAGACTCTTTCGACACTATCATCTAATAACCCTGTCTCTCTTTTGATTTGTTCGTCTTCAACGTATACTGTCACAACACTCTGCAGTAAATCCTGTGAAGTGCTTTGAGGCATCCTCCTGATGTAAATGATGCTATATCGAATGTAAAGATTGTTATTATTATTTACAAGAATGCGCGGTTTGAAACTTTAAGGCAATGGTTGGAGGGCTGAGATTAAGCTGTGTTGAGTGCAGCCCTGTTATGACTCGGTAGACGGTGTCCATAAAATCCACATTATAAATGTTGTAGAACTGAATCGGCTCTATTAAGAAGCACGTTACCAGAAGGCTGTAGTGTATTTGCTCGTCATGGAAATAGGCCATCCTCGCCTGGCTCCCTGTTATAGAGAGGAACGAGTTCCAGATCCTTGTCCTCACTATTAAATCCCTCCACAGTCTTGCCCCACTCTATCTCTGTGAGCTTTTCAACCCTTATCAACCCGCCCGCTCCCTCTGCTCGGTAGGGTTCACATCTCCTGTCCTGCCTCTGCCCCAACATCAGTGTTCTGCCCCCCACTCTCTGAAACTCTATCCCGCGCCGCCTTCACAGTCCATCTCAAGATCTTCCTCCACGACCATGTGAGGGATGGTCATCCTCACCCCCTACACCCCTTAACCTCACCTCTCCTGAATCCAACCCCGGGCTCGGGTTTAAACCCTCGACTGTCAAGGGCCTTGGGCTATCCTCTCTATACAATTGCAATTTGTTGTTGTGGTAGTAGTCATTGCTGGGATATATGGGTGGAGTAAGGGTTGTTACAGGGCCTCATTGTAATGCTGCGTCACTGAAAAAGCATGTGCCATTTGGTCCCAGGTCTGATTTCCTGCAATGTGCATATGCATCACACATGTAGATTGCGCATTTTACCAGGTGCCACAAAACACACCCCAAAATGGCACAAAGACATTATTCTATAGTAATAATAATCCTTGCATTTGGTATAGCCCATTTCACATCTTCTCGACATCTCAAAGCGCTTCACAGAATAGACTGTAAAGTGAATTGACCGTATATTTGTGGGCGAAATGCAGCAGCCAATTGCGCACAGCAGCGTCCCACAAACGATCGTGGATTAAAATGACCAATTTATTATTGTTTTTTGTTTCTGAGGGATTATTACTATAGTTTGTTACCTGTGCTTGTGGGAGCAGGGACACAAGGTTAGTGAGATGGTGGCGTAAAGGGTCGGTAGCACAGCGAATTGTGTGGCAAGTTGGAAGAAACACAGAGAAGACGCTCCAGAGAAATTCTCTCATAGTTTGTTACCTGCATTTGTGGGCGCCGGGATATGGGTGACGTAAGGGTAGTGCCGAAACCTGGGGGGGTTGTCATTGATGTCTGTAACTGTCAAAAATACAGTGGCTGAGCTGGATGTGGCTTGAGGTACACCTCCATCGGTAGCGACCACAACCAGTGTGTAGGATTCCTTGTTCTCTCTGTCCAGCAGTGCACTTGTGATAATTTGTCCTGTAGCTGGGTTGATGGAGAATTGAGAGTTACCTCCCACCAGGCTGTAGCTGTTTGGGGTGGGGGGCAGGGGAGAGAAAGAGAAAGAATCAAAAATAAAATAATTGCTGTGGAATAACTATAATAATAATAAGACTTTGTCCCATTAGTCTGAGCTGGATTCATATTCCGGTTTTAGAGCAGGGTCACAAATAGCTACAGCATGTTCCTAGAGAGTGCACGATAATAATAATAAATAATAATAATAATCCTTATATTTGATATAATGCCATAATCACCTCTTCTGACATCTCAAAGCGCTTCACAGAATATACTATAAAGTGAATTACTCTGTATTTTGTTGGCAAAACTAATACTTGTCAAACTTGGGGAAAAGGAAATACATAGGAAAACTGGAATAGGAGGAGGCCATTCAGCCCATCAGACTCAGATGTTCCCATCAATTTATTAGATTTTGGAAGATTATTTTATTCTCAATACTTTACCTTTTTGCAATGCCTCTCAATAACAATAATGATAACAGTATAGCACTTTTTCTGATTTGTGGACATGTCGAGTGGCTGTTTTTTTGTGGGTGAACTCAGCAGTCAATATGCACACAGCAATGTCCCACAAAGAGCTATGAAATGAACGACCAATTTTATCTGGGGGATATTTGGCCAGGACACCAAGAAAAAACTTCCTTTTTTTTTGATGCCACGGCTTCTTCAACATCCACCTGGACAGGCAGGCTATGCTTAATGTCTCACCTGATGGACTGCCCCTCCAACAATACTGCGTTGCAGTGCCATCCACGGAGCTCAAAGCTGTGACACGGGCTTGAACCCACAAACTTCCATAAAACAGTGAGTTTGCTTGTTTCCTTTTTGTTTGAGATTTTTATGTAAAAATAAAAAGCAGTTTTCCGACTATGAACAAGGAATACTTGAGCACTGCTTTTCCACATCAATCGGTGTATTCTGTGTCAGTACTTTTATAAATGACTGAGCATTGATCTTCAAAAGATGTATTTTTAGCTTTTCTTGCTATGTTATGCTGCTTTGCTGTTTTGCATAGACCATTTTACTCAAAAATGCTTCAATACTTTAAAAGCTTTTCCTTCTTGATCCACTGGAATAATCCTGTTCAGGAGCTCACTATAAACTTTGATTTCTGTAACATAATTCAAATATTTTTGCAATTTGCATAAGGATCTATCCTTATGCATTTCATCCATCTGTGGTAAACATACATACACTTTTAAGGGTAATTTATTTTAGAGGCACGATGGAGGAATAAAAATGCTGATAACAATAATAAATGTCACACTTGACACGGAGCTTTAACATAAAGAATAGCTGGAAGTTCTTCACAAAGTTTCTGTAAAGTGTAGTGACAGATTTTTTTACGTGTGCAGTAATGTCTCACAAAAAAGCGATTTAGTGAACGACCAATTTGATCTCAGTGACTGCTGGCCAGGATACTGGGAGAAATTCCCTTTTTTTAAAATTATTCCAGGTCATCTTTAACATCCACCTTAGCAGGGAGAGGGGGGGGGGGGGGGGGGTGAATCCTGAAAGCTCACAAAGTACGGAAAAAGGCTTTTGAGAAAGTTTTATAAATAATAATAATAATCCTTGCATTTGATATAGCGCCTTATTGCGTTGTCAAGACATCTCAACACATTTCACATGATATGCTGTGAAGGGGAATAACTGTATGTTTTGTGGGAGAAAAGGGTGATGGAAAGATTCCTGTGCTTTCAACTGTGCGAAGTTCTGATACTAGAAGAAGAATTGCATTCGATTATCGTGGCCTTCACATGGAGAGGATGTTTTGAAGCATTACTGTAAAGTAAAATGATATTATTATTATAACGTGTAGTGACTGTGTATTTTGCAGGCAAACATGGGAGCCAACTTTTGCACAGCAGTGTTCCATGAGCAGCCATGAAGTGAGTGACCAATTCTATTTGTGGGGATGGTTGGTCAGGGCATCGGGAGAAAATTCCTTCGGAGTTTGGCCATGGGATATTTAATGTGCATCTGAACAAGGAGATGGGGCGTTGGCTTAACATCCCATCTGAAGGACGGCACCTCCAACATTGTAACACCCCCCACCCCCAGATCTGCATTGGAGTATCAGCTTAGACCATGTGAGTTGAAAGCCCCACTGACCATGCAGCTTGAACCCACAACTTTCTGCCTCAGAGGTGACAGAGCTACCCAACTGAGTCAGGCTGACACACTAATATTCAAATGGTTTAAAACTTCAGTTACAGAACCTCTGGCAGCTGGTGTAATCTGGACATTGTTTCGATGATATGAAATATTCATTATGAAACGATTTTCCAGAAATGCTGAATATTTCCTTCTGGAATTCTATTCCGTATTCAAATTTTTCTTGAGTAATATTCTATGGGCATTCTTACATTTAAGTTGCACCGCTAGCAGCAATTCAACCTGCTTCTTGAGTTGATGCAGTTCTAAAAGAGCAGTTTGCATTCGATTTTAAAATGCATTCATTCAAATCACAGCCCTGCTCCACTGGCTTCCCATCACCCAGAGGACACAGTTCCAGATCCTGGTCCTCACCTTTAAAGCCCTCCTTGGCTTTGCTCCCCCCTATCTCTGCGACCTTCTACCTCCTACCAACCTGCCTGCTCCTTCCACTCAGTGGGCTCCGGCCTGCTTCACGTCCCCCTGCTTCACTCGCCCCATCATTGGGGAACGGGCCTTCCACCACTCCGTCCCCACCCTCTGGAACTCCATCTCAGAGTCCCTCCGCCTCGCCCCCTCCCTTGCCTCCTTCAAGACCCATCTCAAGACCCTCCTCTTGGGACAGTGCCTTCTATCGCTCTCCCTCCCACCCTGCCCTCCACCCTCCCCAATCCCAACCCTCAGCTCGGGTCCGAAACACTGATTGTCCAGCGCCGTGGGATGTCCTCCCGAGGCGAAAGGCCCTATACAAATGTAATATTGTTGTTGTTGTTGCTGTTCGGGTGGGGGGAGGGTCACAAAGTGTATTGTCTGTAAAGTCCTCTGAAAGTTTATCTAGTCAGATAGAGTGTAATGTATTTTCACAGCCTGCGACTATGAGAATATTCTCCCTAACCAAGAGAGTTGATTTTTGCCTCCAGGACCACTTCAACGTGAGATAGCGAACAAAGCACATTACGACAGCATGTCAATGATAGGCTGATCATGGGGTCCCAACCTAGTGTTAGGACCCCGATCTAGTACTGGAACCTCAGCCCCAGTGTTAGGACCTCAGCCCTAGTTAGGAGCCCTGATCTAATGTTAGAACCTCAGCCTACTATTCATGTCCTCTAAGCTCTGGGTAATTATGGCTCACATACACACAGTTTAGTTCCAAATTTTGTAGAAGACAAGTATGCTTGAAGTATGTCCCTCCATTTAGTCAGGTAATAATAATAATAATAATAACAATCCTTGCATTTGATTAAAACGCCTTATGTTTTGCCCACAAATATACAGTGAATTCACTTTACAGTATATTCTGTGAAGCACTTTGATACGTCTTGAAGAAGTGAAAAGCGCTATATCAAATGCAAGGATTATTATTATCTTCGAGACGTCTCAAAGCACTTCACAGAATATACTGTAAAGTAAGGCAACAACCTACATATTATGCCTATGGATAAAGTTTCCTGCATAGTCCTGATTATCAAACAGCCAGTTAACAGTCATATACCACTCTCTTCTCACTCCTGAATCCAGTAGGTTCCCCTCGGAGCACTCCAGCTGCTGGTCTGGCTCTGCAATTCTGAGGACTGCCAAAAAAAAGTGCTGAAATAAATCACTCACTTAAGAAGAAGCTAAAGGCGATTTGTCAAACTCTAGGAAGGAGTCTGGCTGTCCGATACTACATGTTTTGTTTCACAGGCCTACTAATGACCATTTGTACACCACATGGAACCATGGGCATTAGCCAAAGAACCCAGCAGTTACTAGCAATGGAGCTCTTCAAACCAGAAAAATACATGGAAGCCAGCAATTAGATAAACTTCCAGAGGGAGAAGCGATTAAGAGTAAGAAGACAGATAAAAGGCAACACCAAAAAGGTAACAGTTTTGAGGATTCATGGACTGTTTCCTGTTTTTAAATATTCCTGTGCTCTCACTTCCAGGAAGTGCCAATAGAGAAATGACCAGATTTCAAGGCTACCTCTGGCTCCACATCGGATAATTCCATTGGTGTGATATTGAAAATTACAATCCTTGTGTGTCAGCCTGGCTCATTGGTAGTGCTCTCACCTCTGAGTCAGAAGGTTGTGGAATCGACCCCCACATCAGGACTTGGAATTCATATAGTCTAAACTGACACTCCAATGCATTGCTCAGGGGGTGTTGCATTGTTGGAGGCACTGTCCGTCACATGAGACGTTAAACCGAGGTCCCGTCTGTCTGTTCAGGTGGATGTTAGAGATCCTGCGGCACTATTTGAACAGAGAAGGGAGATTCTCCCTGCGTCCTGGCCAACAATCCCCCAAATAATATTTGGTCATTCACTTCACAGGTGTTTGTGGTACATCGACTGCCGCATTTGCCCACACAATACACAGGAAATCCTGTGAGTCGCTTTGGGATGTCCTCTGACGTGAAAGGCGCTGTACCAAATGCAAGGATTATTATATAGTTCCTCCATCACATCGTAGGGAAGCTTCAAAGCACTTCACAGGATATACAAATACCATAGAATCACGATACACAGTCACTCCATTTCACAGTAAATCCTGTGAAGCGTTTCGAGACATCCTTCCGACATAATAATGCGCTATACCAAATGCAATGATTTTATTTGGGGGGGATGTTGCCCAAGACACCGAGGGAAAACCCACTCTATTTTCGAATAGTGCCATTGGAACTTGAATATCTATCTGAATATTGAGAAAGGACCTCGATTTAGTTGAAGGACGCCATTTCCAATAATGCAATACACTGCAGCACTGCACGGAAGTATCAGCTTAGATCAGATGAGCTCAAGTCCCAGCGTGGGGCTTGAACCCACAACCGTGGATGCTTGGTTGGCTCTCCAATTGCTATCCGTTTTCCCACATGATAAAACATGGCAAACTTCTGGGTCATCAGGTTGCCCCCTATGTCACTGTCTATGCGCTCTGCATGTGGGTATTTTTTGGGGTGGGCAGTTGGCCAACTTTCTGTGGCTAGGTTCACTGGTCATTTGATCAGTGGGGAAGCGATATTTTGGGTTTTATGGATGTGTTACAATGGGGCTGTACTGTATTATCTGTTTCATTTCTGTCGGAGGGATTTTCCGCTCTAAGCTCACGTGTTCCAATAAACCTCCCTCCCAAAAAGCAAGTCCACAGGGCTTTTTTTTTTATCTTCAGCCAAATTGATTTCTTCAGAAGGGAAACAGTGCAACTATCATCAAAGTGAAAAATACAGGAAATTAGACATAATCAAGTGTAAACGAATCTGGCTTCCACCTACCTACTGTGAATATCCTGTGAGAAGCACTACTTACATAAGCAGCGAGACTTCACTAGGAAAGATTAATGTATGAAATTGCCCCGAACAGCATGAAGAAGCTTATGACTAATGGAGAGAACGCAGTATTTTGTACAAATCCATTAACCCCTGTCGAGCCATCCACTGGACAACTTGTCACCACCACTTAACATCATCATTAGTATTGTTTTGCCAAATTGGTAATTCGAGGGTCTAACATTTGGGAGTTTTGATCCGATAAGGGGACTGACAAAGGCTAAAGCATGCAAGTCTGTAAGAGAAGCCTCTTATCTCCACACCGGACTCCACCAGTGCCCTCCTTACCAGTCTCCCCAGCTCTACCATCTGCAAATTCTGTCTCAATCAAAATCTGGGCCCCGCATACTTAGCTGCACTAAGCTTTGTTCCCCTACCATCTTCTACTGTCGCCGTAACTTCCACCAGTTCGACTTCCGCACCTACTAATCCCTACATACCCTCACCTCTCCCTACCTCTGTGACCTCCTCCTCCGCTCTCATTCACTTGCTCGCCTTTTCTTTTCATAAAACATGGGGCTGCTGCACTTCCTCTGCTCGCTCCACCATCGGCAGCTGAGCTTTAAGGCGCTAAGCCCCCTAAGCTCTGGAACTCCTTCCTTAAATCCTTCCATCTTGGCCCCCAGCCGTCCTGAAACGCTTCCTGAAAACCTAGCCCTACCACCGTGGCTATGGTGATCTCCCTGTTCTCCACTCAGTGTCCGTCACACTCTATAAAGTGGTCCTGGACGATACTCTTCCGAGAAAGGCACCGTATAAATGCAAGTTGGTCTTGTGAGTCATAAAAAACACACAAGTCATGTCATGAAGTCACTGATAAGATGTTGTTTTACATGGTTCCTTCGTTAATAAATGAGGGAGATATATAAGTAGGAACCTGTTTGTTAGTTGATTGTCGGATCGCTTTTCCAAGGGTAATAATTCCTTCAAAAAAATAATATTAACAATAATTTGGTCACTCGATCGATGACTGTTTGTGGGACGCTGCTGTGTGCGATTGGCTGCTGCGTTCGCCCACAAAATATACAGTCAATTCACTTTACCGTATATTCTGTGAAGAGCTTGGAGACGTCTTGAAGATGTGATAAGACACTATATCAAATGCAAGGATTATTATTATTATTACAAACATGATGCATTATATGAGTAGTTGTGGAGTATCGAAAGGACCTGCCTACTTTTGCTCCACACAACCACAGCTCAGAAAACGTGGGCATCTGGAGGGTGAAGGAGCTTTACCTGACAACAGCGTTGGAACCTTCATCGGCGTCTGTGGAGTTGACGAGGAGGACGTCAGTTCCCGTGGGAGCATCCTCGGGGATGGAGGCGTAAAAGGTATTGGAAGCGAACGTCGGAATGTTATCGTTGATGTCATCCACGATCAAGCTGATGGTACCCGTGCCGGTGAGGGCTGGGGACCCTGTAACAGAACAAAGAATGGAGGAGCAAAGTGAACGTGAGCCATCAGACTTCAACCATTACCTGTTCACCGATTCCCGCAGACATTCCTGTCCCTCGAAAGAACAGCTAAATCAGAATTAATTCCTTGAGAACTCTCCAGCAATTTTAACATGGAATGTGATTGCTTCAGGAAACCGGTGAGAGGTGTTGCTTTAGCTCGGAACAATTTATTCCTTTGAACCTAAACCGTGTAAAGTTGCTGTCGAACAAATCACTGCTGTTAAGTTGAATGATGCAGACTGTGCTTTTTAAGAGAATCAGTCAGCCCACGCCTTAACAAAATGTTAAAAAATATCAGACGCTCTTAAATATTTTTCAACTGTTTAAAAATGTATCACCTCATTTCTGAAATATTTCTAAGGCATCTGTAGAGCAACTTTCAAAACTGGCCGAATGCTAATTAATTTGCTAAAGAGTACGTACCGAACGTTTGCCCGAGTGTGCCATCAATCAACTAAGGAGCCATGGGAGTCTTGGGTAGCAACCACTGCATTTCTTTGCCTCTTCCCTTCTAAAACAAACCTCTCCTGTTACCCTGCACTTCATGCCTTTTCCAGCGCAGTCTGCAAGTTGACGACAGACCAACCAGTCGTCTGACTGGCAGGACCTGGAGAGGCAGACTGGGCATAGGGATTCTTCTCGCTCAGCTCCTGTTAACCCTGCAAGCCAAAGCCCTGATGGGTAGAGTGGTCCTAGCTGGACAAGCAGCAGGAAGCTTGCCAGACAATGGACGCAATGGCAATCTATGTGATTTTAGTTGGTTAAACTCCAGTAGTACTCAAACATACACTCTGAGGTCCCCGATTCGTGGCTCCTGCAAATCTGCGGCAAATACATTCAGGAAGTAGCCGAGCAGGTGTATCAGGAGGACATTATAAAGCACTACACAAAATGCAAGGATTATTCTTCATGTGTAGAATTCAGTCTGGTTTCCATATTCAACTCAGTCTGCTTTGCATACTCTTACATATGGCATCCAATGTGTCAGGATAGTTGACTGAACAAAAAAAAGTTCATAGCGTGAAGCAGTAACACAAAGATTGATATCTTTCAATACATCTTTTACATTAAATGCTGTATTCTGTTGCTTTTACAATACTTTTGGGCTCCATGCATAGAGAAACATGTATAAACTCTTCTCATCCCTTTACTCTTTTAAACACGAAAGGACAAGGTGCAAGGAAATCCCGATGGCCTGGATTTTACATTTGGTAGCTGTTGAAAGCTTTTGGGGGAGGATGAGGGGAACTGTGCAGATTTTCTCTGCAGCAATCGCTCATAATAAAAATAATGATCCTTGCATTTGATATATAGCGCCTTTCATGTCTGGAGGACATCTCAAAGCGCTTCACAGGATACACTGTAAAGTGCAGTGAACGTGTATTTTGTGGTCAAACACGGCAGCTAATTTGTGCACAGCCATACCTCACAAACAGACATGAAACGAGTGACTAATTTTACCTGGGGGGAATTGTTGGCCAGAACAGCGCACACAGGGTGCTGCATTGGAATGTTAGGATAGCCTGTGAATTCAAAGTCCTAAGGTGGGGCTTGAATCCACAACCTCTTTTCTAATGCAAGGATTATTATTATTATTATTATTATTATTATTATTATTATTATTATAGCTATTTCGAGACATGTTCCTGCTATAAATGCTTCTGGCAGTGTCAATGATAGCTTCAAATTGGCTACTTAACACTGTAATGAAAATTGTATTTAGAAATTGGAACTGAGTACATTTCCCACCACTTCGTTTTTGGTATAACTGGATTTTAATGACTCTTGTGGTAACTATTACCAGTAATCATTAATAGTGACTTGAAAACAACAATCTGGTGGTAATTCTCCCTCTAAAAAACATTAGATCTGCTCATAGGAAAATCCAGCCAGTGAATTCAAGCTGACTAATTGAACACACACTGTTCCACTCACAAATCTGATAATTTCATGCTACAAGCAACAAGCCATATTTTCATTTAACTATGCATTGTACGTTTGTCTACAAAACTACACAGTCATTAAATTTTACGGTAAATCCTATAAAGTGCTATTGAGACGTTTTAAGGGACTATATCAAACGCAAGGATATTATTATTCATGTCATTTTATTGCGTCTGCTGAGAGACAAGCCTTGGACACTGCTCCAACATTACTCCTGTACTTCCAGCCGTTGTGATGAATGTCCTCCTTTTTGAAGAGATTCTTCCATCGCAACCTAGGCTTCTTGGGAGTTGTAACTGCCAACTCAAGTTTATTAATCATAATTATAATAATAAACCTTGCATCTGATAGAGCATCTATGAAGTCAAAATGTCTCAAAGTAATTAATGTTAAGTGCAGTGAGTATGTATTTTGTAGGCAAAAACAGCTGTAAATTTGTCCCACAAACAAGACAGGAGGTTAGTGACTAAGTTATCTAGGGAAATATTGTCCAGGACACTGGGTGAAACTTGTTTTTTTCAAACAGTGCCACAAGATCTGAACAGGCAGATAGACCTCTGCTGAATGTCTCACCAGAGGACAGCATCTCCGACAACAGAACACGCCATCCAACACTGTACACGGAATTCAGCTTCCACCCTGACTTGAAAATGCTGTCAGAAGTTTGAATCCACAAACTTCTGACCCAGAGGCGAGAGTGCTATCAACCGAATCATGCTGACACTTATTGTCATCAACAGATGGATGAAAACCATCAGAAAATAAAGCATTGACTGTCCAGCAAAGATTGAGATACGTCGCTCTTCAAGTAGAGGTCAGTATTTGAGTCTGTCATTTGCCCATTCCATTATGCCATGGCTACTGACAGCTTCTAATAATTGTCGATTTTGAATGGAATTCCTTAGCCAAGGAAAGGTACATCATGCCGTTTATGGGAATTCTGCTCTGGTGCAACCTACTTTTGGAGCAGAGTCGGTTGACATACCTCTACTTTAGCGGAAAGAATCCCCAATTGGAGACAAAACTTATTAAGGAGTAGAGACTACCAATTGTGTTAATACATCCTGCATATTATGCCACAAAACCTTTCATCCTTTTGTACCCAGAGAAACAGATCTATAGATGTAAGCAAAGAAGTGCCTTAATGCCATAACTGTGTACAGTACACAACATGCTGGATGATGAAAATCATTAAGTCATTATATCTAAGTCTTCTCTGAAAGAATATCAATTCACAGAGGAAATGCTGATCACTGTGGGGCCCCTGTGTAAATTGTGCCCAGATTACTGAGTCTTTCCAATCAATCTGATTCAGCCTGTTACACCCCACAGTATTATCAAGGGGAATGTTAAAAAACAAAGCAGCAGATCTGGAGCCAATTGCAATTTATAGTGAGGTCTTTATTCTCGCTGAGCCAACAATGTGTCATAATTGGTCATTTATTGGTGCTGACATGATGGTGTCACACCAGGTTAATCTGCTGAAAAATAGTACTATGATGTAGTTGGTCAGTCTGTACGGTTGAGCCAATGGTTTGCAATGGTTCTTAATGTATTGCTTACAGAAAACAGAATCATCTGAAAGTCTAACTAGATGTCTGTCTTTATCCAACATAACCCTGCATTGCCAGCACATAAGGAACACAATCATGCCTGTCACTGATCTCAATGCCATGTGTAGTAACACATGCACGCACATGTACTGAGGGAGAAGGTTGGCGAGAGCGGAAACTCAGGCATATCCTATTAATTGCTTTTGGCATTATATGAAGCCACAACACGGGTGCCTTTGCCCAATCCTCATTTCTGGATATAAAAGCCATCATCACAGAACTATGAATGACCAGGCATCATTGTGCATTTCAGTTTTGGAAAGCGTTTGGAGATCCAGAGTGTGGGGGCAGAGATGCTGAATGCCCGACCGTCAACGGTGGGGCGGGAAGCGCGGAGGACCCGAAGCAGGACGGTGTCCGCCGAGTGGACGGAGCGGACCGGCTGACATGGGGTTAGGAGATAGGAGAGGTAGGGGGCCAAGACCATGGAGGGCTTTGAAGATGTCTGTTTAATTAACCCTGTAATCTGGTTCACTACTATAGAAAAGGAACACACTTGCGCAGACATTGCAGCAGCGTATTCATTCTGCTGTACTAATTTTAGAAATTCCTCATTGAACTGATCTCCGTGGGAGATAATGCCACAGTTTATCAAAGACAAATCTCGCTGACTAGCAGTTTTCTGACATGAGAATTGTCATCCTACTGAGGCGTAGGCAGTGCCATAAAAATCACACAGCATCGTCAATTTTGGTAGAAAGAATTGCAAAACACAATGTTTAGATTATCAGATTTTTTTAGTACGCTGGATTGTGGGGAATACATAAAAGTTCAGTTTAAACCATCGCTGTATGTTTCTGATTAACTTTGAAAAGTATTTCAAACAGATGTGCTACGAAATAATGAAACGTATGTCCACTCTCTCTCAGTGCATCAACAGATATCTTAGAGGATCTGTTTACATGTTGCAATGATTCCAAAGATTTATAGGGATTATATACCTCTTGTGCCCAGTTGACTAAGACATGGTTGGCTAACTCTTCTCTCATTACAGCAGATCCTTAGCAAGCAAAAGGAATGGTCAAATCAAGCAAGTAGACTTGGCTAGCTAGACAACTCAGCTTCAGAATATAGAATCTCACTTCTGAGTCAGAAGGTTGTGGGTTCAAGTCCGCCATCGGGACTGGGAACCCATACAGTATTTACTGCATTAGATTCAGTGGCTCATGCAGAAAAATACCAGTGCAGATGCTGTCCTTTGAAGTAGAAGTTAAACCAAAGTCTTGCCTGCCTGTTCATGTAGAGTTAAAGATCCCACGGCGTTGTTCGAAAATAGAAAGAATTTATCCTGGTGTTATCTTGGCCAACAATCCCCCAAATAAAGTTGGTCACACATTGCACGGCTGTTTGTGGGACACCGGTGTGTGAGAATTGGCTGCTGGGTTCACCCACAAAATCTAAA